CATATACCTTACTTACCTCACTTGTGTGTTTTTACAAAAAAATTAAGTATATAAAGTATATTTCAGTCATTACAACTCTTGGGATAGATTGTAAAATCTTTATTAAAGTAAATAGAATGTGCATAGGTTTGGTCTTGGCGGACTAGATCTGCTACACTGCTACTTCTGCTGCTGCGGAGCAAGACTTGATTCTGCTAAATGCTCAGATCATAAAATTAAAAGGAAACATGCTGCTGCTGCTGCTAGAGAGAGGAAGATCCCCATAGGCAGATGGTGCTGGGGAGGTGGTGGGCTAATATGAGGACACGCATAGCACGCAGATATGGCATTCATTGAATACGTTCTGGTTTTATAGGTAAACTGTAATGAGTACATGAATCCAATTGGCTTGGAACATTGAACTGAATGAACCAATTAAAGCACAAGTAGAGTTGCATGGCCGAACCAGAGCCACTAGAAGGCAAGCCTGCAACCTTTAGCTAAAAAAGCGTAACGGCTGATGCTAACGCTTCCGCTTTGGCAGTATGTGAGAAAGGAGACCAGAGGCCGTTTTTTTTTTTTATGGATGTCAATGGAGGAGAGGCTTCACTACGCTGAATAAACAGCTTTTTAGAGGAAACAGCTTATCATTTGTGACCCTGGACCACAAAACCAGTCTTAAGTCGCTTGGGTATATTTTTAGCAATAGCCAAAAACAACATTGTATGGGTCAAAATTATCGATTTTTCTTTTATGCCAAAAATCATTAGGATATTAAGTAAAGATCATGTTCCATGAAGATATTTGGTAAATTTCCTACCGTAAATATATCAAAACTTAATTTCTGATTAGTAATATGCATTGCTAAGAACTTCATTTGTAAAACTTTAAAGGCGATTTTCTCAGTATTTTGATTTTTTTGGTACCCTCAGATTCCAGATTTTCAAATAGTTGTATCTCGGCCAAATATTGTCCTATCCTATTCCTAACAAACCATACATCAATGGAAAGCTTATTTATTTAACTTATTTGAAATTGACTGGTTTTGTGGTCCAGGGTCACATTTAATAAATCGACAGCCTATCAGCTACTCTCCAACATGTTTTACACTAAGCAGTAATTTAGGATTTTTTGGAGTTTACACCGAAAAAAATGGCGTTGAAAAGTCACTGACTTTTTGCAACAGGTGGGATACAGTTTACAGCATTTCTCATTCATTTTTATGGTATCCGTAAATGGCTATTGAGTGTCGCACAACTCTGACTGAATTTCAATGACGTCAAGGCTGTAATGTGACTGGTTAGTAAGCACTTTATGTTCAGTCTTTAAAACCACTGCGTTTATGTTCTGTGGAAAAAAATGTAAACATATTAACGTGACAAGTTTGTTTCAGAAAATGAGTCAAAAGGAGACAAAAACTTCATGAATGTCAGCTCTGGGTTTCATCCTAAGCATATAATTCACATGAAAGTGTGATGTTTACAGCAAACAGACATGAAAATTCGAGAGAGTCAATGAGTAACAGCTGCACAACTGCAATAGGCCTATCTCCTTTAAATCAGGTTAAATACTCAAATTGAAAGTTGTCAGAAAACAAACCAAATTTCATAAATTATTTCAGGAATGTAAAACTGTGTAAAATGACTAAATAACAGTGCTGTGAGCATGAGTTCAGCTCTGACTTCCTCTCTTCTCTGTGTGCTTGAGGTTTCATAGTGTTTCCGCTCACAGTACGAGATGTTTGAATGATCACATTATAGAAGATATTCATCTGGATCAGACGATGAAGCTTTTCATCTGTGAGTTTATCACATCACATTTGATTTATAAAATGGGTTTTCTTTTGATTTAATGTCTTAAAATGTGTTTTGTTTCTCTCATAGATCTGTTCATGTGGTCTCAAGCCACAGAGAGTCTAACAAACACAGCAGTAAGTTTAGGAGCTGATGTGAATATAAGCTGTGATCGTGATATAGAGGAGATTTACTGGTACAAACAGAAGTCACCGGATCCTCCAGTGTTCATCTTACGCACTTACAGTAGCACATATGAAGGAGCTGAATATGAAAACATCATCTTCACACACAAATACTCAGTGAAAACTAACAGTCGTCTGTTCATCAGAAATATCACCACTGATGAATTAGGAGTTTATTATTGTGTGAAAACTAGTGAACCACTTAAATTCAGCAACGGCACCAAAATCTACATCACTGGTGAGTAATTTTCATACTTTTATATTTTTAAAGTTATTATATAACTTATATGATTTATATAAAATTACTTATATTGGTATTCAATACATTACATATGAAAATGTATAAATGATTTTAATGTTTTTCAAATTGTCCTGTCATTCTGCCAGCATAAAAATGGCTAATATCTATTTTAAAATTAAATAGAATAAAAATGTGAATTTTTACAGATTTTGTCAACAAGAATCAGACCGATTTAGTTCCCCAACACCAGAAACCGTGGCTAATTGTTACCATCATCACATCTGTCCTGAGTGTTTTTGTGATCATTGCAGTAATAGGTGTGTTTTTCAGATTAATTTAGTAATTCAGCATAATAATGTATTGATCGAATTGTTGTTTGTTGAAACTGGCAGAGAAGCTGAAATGGGTTTCTTTGGATTATGACTTATTTCTTTGGTCAAACAGTATTAGCTGCTGTTTGATTCGTGACATTATTTAATGAATCTCAGTGGTTTAATTCACTGCTGTTTCAGCTTTGCTAAAGAGCTGTGCAAACTCCACTAAAGCATGTGAAGAAGAGACCAGCAGAGACATGAATGAGCCACAGGTGAGTCATTTAATACATAGAAACATCATCTTCCCATCATCTCACACATTCACTGCTGTTTCTAATCGCAGTCACAGGTTAGTGCTTCAGATCATCTGAAAAGCTGCAATTGCTACTATTCTGTAATATATAATAACATGCGTATTTTCTGTTTTTTTAAATGTCTGTTATTTGAACAACATTAACATACAGTAATGTTTAATGTCGGGCTCATCGTTTCTCGCTCAGTTTGCTGAAGTCGTTCTGTTGAAGCAGCTCAATGGCAGCAGCTCTTGTCAGACCGTGTGCAGCTTCTCTCTTCTACAGTCAATAACAGATGAAGGCGGTTCAGGAGAGACATAGAATCTAAATGATTTCTGAGAAATGCTTTAGATTGAAATAAACAGTGTTTAAAATGTCAGTTCATTCGTGCTTTGAAAACCTGATGGCATGAACTAATTGCATTTGAGGTGAAGAAAACCCAGAACTGAGATACAAAAAAAAAAGTATAGCAGTTTTAGAACCTCCACTCTAGACAAGACCCTGGTTGTCATTGGCTGTCAAGTGACCAAAAGAGTGGAACGTTTCTGGGTTTGGTTTTGCGCTTCAGTTGAGTTTAACCACATGATGTAGCCTTTGCTAAAAACAAAAAGCCATATCTAATAATGTTTATACAAATACTCTAGGTAAGGTAATACTTGTTCAAAACAATCGCTTTTGCAAAGTCTGTACTTTCTGTTTATTTTGATAAAAGAATTCATTGTCGTTCAATATATATGGGCTACTGTCATTAAAATATGTTAATATAAAATACAGAAACAAACTTATTTTAAAAAGTAAAGATTCTGAAAGCATTGAAAGGGATCCCGTGCTTTAATATAGATTTACAGTAGTAACAATAAATCACATTTTATTAAATTATATTATTAATATCATATTTTTGTTTCATAAAATGGACAACTTAATATATGATATTTACCATCTGATTCTATCAATGTCAACAAATGGAAAAACTAGCCAGCTATTTATTATCATGTTAATTATTGTGCATTTCGGCCCAACAGCAGGGGCGCTTTTTACCCCAAATACCATACTTTTACATAATCTTTGACAAATAATTGTCTCAAAATATAGGCATATTCAATCATTTTAGCTATTCTCATTTGCTACTTATATATATACAGTGTTGGGGAAAGTTACTTTTAAAAGTAATGCATTACAATATTGCATTACTCCCTAAAAAAGTAACTAATTACGTTACTTAGTTACTTTTTATGGAAAGTAATGCGTTATAATACTTTACGTTACTTTTTAAATATGAGCTTGGCTTGAATGTTTTTAATATAAGAAGTTCTATTTATAGCAAATATAAAAGCCCTTTCACACCAAAAAGTGTAATGAATAAACCTCAGGCTGAAGCAAAAGTAAATTCACGTCTGTACAGTAGAACGCAGGAGAAGAAACACTCTTCAGCAATAAGAAAACAAAGCACAATTGTTAGTTTCTCTAAAGTCATTTTTGCTTATTAGTATGGTTGAACTGGATCATCAAAGGTCAGCAGCAAAGACATTGGTTAATAAAATGGGATTAGATACATTTGTGTTATTTAACATATTTAATTATTGCAGGTTTGCGTCATATTCTGAGTTTGCATTTCACTGTTTTAATTCATTTTGATGAATACTAAATCAGTTTTTTGTGAGTGGGATGAATTAATGCACATTCACATTTAGTCTAGAACTACAGTATCATCATGTTCACCCAGCGCACACAACGCCTCTGTACTCCCGATTTCTCCCAATATGGGGACAGGAGAGTAAATGGGAAAGAGTCAGTCAATAAATGGGAAAACAAAGTAACTGGCATTACTTTACAGTTGCTACCCCAAATTTATTCAATTTGATTATAAGAAAAACAAAAATGCAGCATCAGTTTCTATGTGTGCGCACAATAACCAATAACAAGTCAGACCCCTAGAATAAAATGAAAAGGGGTTCATTTTATTCTGATATCATGTTACTTCAAACTGCACAAAATGGCTCTTATACCTTTTTCAAAATAGTAGATTTTTTAGTGTGGGGAAATATTAGCAGCATATTAAATGAAGCGCTACACAATAACTCAAACAATAGGCTACTGGAGACTTACTGTGTTGTTTTCCATTTACGCAAAAACCTCCAATTATTTACATCAATAAAAAAAGAGAATGAAGAGAAACAAGAGGAATTTCTGGATCTTTTTTTGACAATCTTGGTGTTTATTGTAAGTATTGCATTTTAACTCACAGCTAGAATCAGAGTGCATGTTTACAAAGAATGGCCACAGGTTCATCAGGACCTCTGTTCCTTCGGTGCGGAAAAGCTTAGCCTTTAACAGACCAAGATCAGCACCACTTCTCTGGGAAGTGTCCTTGAATTCGGGCCTGGGTCGGTACAGTGGCCTCAACAGGACACGGGCCATTCTCTTCAAAAAATAAAATAAAATAAAACAAAACCAAAAGCACTGGCATCTCAGTATGGGCCCTGGCTTTAAATAGTGCAGATTCATAAAACAATAAGAATGAAAAGGAGGGACAATAAAAGACAAAAGCAACGTGTCCTCTCGTGAGGAGACAACAGAGGTTCACATCTGTGATTTGGCCAGGTGTTGATAAAGCACCGTTGCGTTCAGTTCAACGCGCGTGAAAACGCCTCCGTGGCGCTCGTCCGCACGACCAAAAGAGTTTGTTCTAAACGCAATGAATTTACACCCAACTAAAACTCTCTTAACTGGGGTGAGTACAACTACTCCACACATATGGGCCGTTCAGCAGCCAGAAGCATTTGGTTGATGCTGGATCGGGACACCTAGCAGATGTCCGTACTGCTGGCGGAGCGTTTACAAATTAGACTTGGCTTTAAAACGCACTACAACGCAGCTCTGCATTTAGGGAGGAAATATAAAATAAAAGTAATAAATTCACAGACGGAGTGAGTTTACGGTTTAGAAGAGAATAATCTAAAAGGGAGGGATATGGCGAATGAAATAAGTTAACCCTTTCCTCCGCTTTCGGATCAAGGGGAGAAAATAAAAACGAATTAAGGAAAGTTAATGAAGTCTGAATGCTTCATCTCACACAAAATAATAATAAAAAGAAAAAAATAAGAGTTTAACATAGTACAGCGGGAAGGAAGAGTTCGACTCCACGTCCACAGCGCACGATACTAGTAGTGGAATGCCTTTCAGCTTTAAAAGAAATACAATTCTGAACATAAAGCCGAATAAATAAAGAGCGTCACTCAGAGTTAGCATGCTATTAACAGACCACTGCCTGCGGTCACTCGTTCTTGTGTGTCCGATTTTAAGTACTTCAGTGTGTTGGATTTCTTAGTTTTGTTTCGTTTTAAAGAAAGTCGTCAAATTCCTGGGCAGCCACAGAATTGAAACTACTTCGGTTTCATCCAGCATAATGAACAAATAATACTGTCCATGCCACCGCAAAAGACTCTCAAGAGGAAGATAGTCAATCTTTGCAAAAATATAATTTCAAATGCACAAAACACAAGACATACAGCAATAGAGGCAATTTCTACCCATGGGTAACTACCTTTTTTCAACTCAGTTTTTATTTTAACTTTAATTTATGAAACTATCGTATTTATGTACAAAAATGAGCAAGTTGGCATTGCTCTTTTGGACGGACACAAGTGTTGCGTCTCAGGAGTAGGAGTGCTAATGTGTTGATCTGACTACAAGAGTTTATTGCTCATTTCTGCCAGGAGAGACATCTATAGTTAAACACGGGGGTGGATATTTCTCTGACATGGTGCCAGTTCTACGGAGGGCTCTATGCGGTCGAGTGCAAGATCGCTGGGTTTTAGCTGCTGCGTGGAAAGTAGCTCCACAGTTTTAAATGCACCAAAAATTCCCACAGCCATGGGATCGTAGTTCTTCAGTTCTCTCTGATGAATGCAGTAGATCTTTCTGCTTTATTGGTTTTTGTCACATAGCACCAATGACAGTCCTTGTCGCCGTTCAGCAGCGACTTTAGAACCATTAGACCGGGTGTGAAGGAAATCAACAGGTTCGGGGCTTTTTGTGTTGATATGGAGTTACGCATGTCAGGTGATCCAATTTGGGTGGGTTTAGTTGAATGGTTCACTAGTGACCAGTTCACGACCCATTCATGTAGAGAATTAACAATCAGGGGTTTGAATTAAATTAACATCTATTTTTATACATCTTAGCTTTCCTTTCGGAAAAAGGGGATTTAGATAATGACAATTATCAGAAAAGTCTCTTATTCAGGAATAAAACCTTCTAATAACCCAATTAAATCACAATCACAGATTGTTTCCATCTCATTCATATTCTCTCAGATACATTCACTAATTTAAAACATCAGGCATTCTATAGGGCGGGCGGTGTTCTGGTCACCTGACTTAAATAAGAGTCTCTGATTGGTCGAGGAGGGAAAGGTGGCTAGAAGGCAGGACTAATTTCGAGGGCTGGGATAGTGTGTGTGTGTGTGTGTGTGTGTAAAGGGGGAGCTCGTTTTATGAGCTGAAGGCCAGTTTGATGCTGCAGGAGGAGTAGCCCTCATCGCTGGCAGTGCTCTGTAGACTGCTGTGGTCATCCAGATCGCTGGTGCTGGCTGTGCTAATGCTGTCCAGCTCTCCATGAGAGAACTCTGTGCCCTCCACGTCCACCTCCATCTCTTCTGTGTCCAAAGAGAGAGTGAAACAAAGTCAGACAACATTATCATTGCATCATGTATTACATCAGGTATGTCACATGAAAAGGTGACTGATATCTAGCTTGGCGTTAAAGACAGACAGACAGAACAATAGATGATAGACCGACAGATAGATTGATAGACAGAAATAGATCGACAGACAGACAGACATATAGATATATAATATAATAGATAGATGGATGGATGGATAGATATAGATGGATGGATGGATGGATGGATGGACATAGATGGATGGATGGATGTAGATTGATGGATGGATGGATGGATGGATGGATAGATAACCATAGAACAATAATGACAGACAAACAGAATGATAGAACAATATGTAGACAGATTAACATGAAGCTCCAACCTTGGTCTGAGTCGGAGCGGTCGGATCTCTCGGAGCAGACGGTGGAGCCTACGCTGTCAGTGTGTATCCTCTCGCCCTCCAGCACACCCCCGCCGCCCCGCAGCAGGTCCAGTCGCCTCTGGAGGTGACGCTGCTCTCGCTCCAAACTCTCCAACTGATACTGAGACTTGCGCTCCGCTTCCTCCAGTTTCTGTGGAAAGACAAAGAATGGTGACTCATGGATAATTACAGAAAATCACTAACGGCACACACAAAAGAATTCACTTGTAATCAAAGGTTATTACAGCTAATGCATAAGTAAAGGCATGTTCAGCGTTACAAGACCTTTAATTTATTTTGTCTCTTTTCATCACTTCAGGATTGGGAAATGTTGCAAGCCAGATTCAAACCTGCATTGACTTGCAAGAGCACTAACCAAAATTTTAAACAACATTAACATCCTGCTGTATGATATAGCAGGACGGGTGATTTAAAGAGATGTGCATTTTGTCAAGCTCATGTGACTGATTGATTTGTTTACTACAGTTCTGAACCCAGTTCAGATCAATAATCCCTCCACAAGTGGCCCTTGTGACCTTATAATATATTACGCTAGAACAATGCAGCATGATCCGAGCTACAACCACTAATGCGTACACACACACGCACACACACGTAACTGGTCGGGACAGCTTAACCTGTTATTACGGGAAAACCAGTAGGACTTTAGAATGAAAGCCAAACTGAAAATACATGGTTATTATCAGATACATATTTTCAACAATAGAAAGTATCTGTGTGTAGTGCTTGACATGCGTTTTACAAAAAAAGCTCTTGAGGGATAGAAACTGATTTGTCACATTAAGGGACGTGGCTCTGCTTAAAGGAAGCTGTTGGGGGTTTTTGTAAGGTGTTGTGCCTGTCTAAATGTGTGGATGTAAATAATGTGAATATTTTATATAGGTGTAGTCTTTTACATACAATAAATAAAACAGCTTTTATTTGACTATTGATGCAGACTTCATCTCATGTGAATGAACAATCTTTTTTCAAAAACCTGTTAATTTCTTGGTGTTAAACTTTAATGATAAATGATAGCAATTGAGATACGATTAAATACTGGTGTTGTATCAGCTGTCCACCAATTCAATAATCTTAAAATGTCAAATTTAAATAGAGTAAAACTGGCTTGTGATTTTCATACATGGGCAAAATAATGTCTTAAAACAAAAAACTGTAAAATGTAGTGATAGCTTAGGTTTTTTTATTCTTATTGTTTAGAGTGGCCAAGACATCACAAGCAGAGACAGGGGCAACAGGATGAGTAAATGTGGCGTGTCAAATTCAAACTCATATTTCCCACATAAGCACCATGGCTCAATGTGTCAGAGCATGTGTGCAAACCACTAGGCCATAGCTCTAACATCACTGTCTTAATTTAGGAGCTCCTCTCAAGTGTGTTTACCTTTATGTGTGCTTTGGCCTTGTTGAGCAGTCCCAGAGTGGTGTGACGGCTGCAGTCTGGTCCCAGCGGGATGAGAGACTTCAACTGCTCCAGACACAAACGAAGATGGGCTCGTCTGAAACATGACAAACAGAAACGTCAGCCTCATCCACACACACACACACACACACGCCCTAAAAGAAAAAAAAATGGAACGAACTCGCTGTTACTGAACCTTTACCCGAGTGATTTGACCAACAGCTTATGAGACAACACCTCATTCTCTAGCTTAAACACAAAGCACGCACACACACATGACACGGACTACTTCAAGATTGTATTCTAGTTACTCAAAGTGCTTGAGGTTGTGATTGTTCACTTTCTGATGCAAAAGTGCCCTGTGTGCATATCTCATTCAAAATATTTACAAGAACTATAATAGCATATCAGTGACAATAAAATAACACTGACATCCAACACTGTCTTTAAAACCTGAGCAGACTCGTTCTACATTTTACGAGTTTGCATATAGCACGCGTGTCTGTAATTGTGTTATTGAGACTTTTCAACATTCTGTTTGCATTTCACCTTATAGGCAACGAAGATGGCTGCTCTCTCTTTCTCTCTCTCTCACACACACACACACACACACACACACAGTCTGTCTGACCTGTGACAATGGTGGTAGATTTATCACAAGCCTTATCGCCGAGCACCACCGAGAGGGCACTGTTATCAGGACACCCGTCTCACACACACCTGTCGCAGACGCGCCACTGTCTGCCTCGGTGTGTGTGGACATTGATTGATCAACCTGGTGCATTAATGGCTATAGGGGGCAGACTGGTATTTTAGATTTACTTGTAGCTCATACAAATTACCTCTAGTTCATCTACACACATTTTGCCCAACAACCCCTTCACCATGGCAACCAGATGTAACCCAAATATCTTTCAAATACTTCTCACGCTATCTACATATCTATCTCCAGACATGACAGTGTCATGTCACACACTCAAGCAGTGCATGCCTGGAAGGCCGTATATGTGCGTGTGTTTGCTTTCGTCTGTGTGTGGCGTAATAAATGACTTTGTTTCTGTCAGCAGACGGAGACCGTGCCAAACAACAATCACTAAGTCTTGTCGTCTCGCAGCCGAAGTGAAAAACAACATCTTTAAAAGACTAGAAAATTATGACATTACGCATTAACACTTTAGTTTCTTTGGTACCTAAAAAGATCAGTTGCATAACGTGAGAAAACAAAACAGAAACCAATGCAAAAACACACAGAGACAAAAGCTAGACTTAAAACAGTTTCAGTTACTATGAATAACTTGCGTTGTCAACGACAATGCATGCACAGTAAAGTTATGAAACACAGATGAACTTTATCACATTAGCTTTGCTGCAAAATCAAAAGTAGCAGTGTGATTCCTACATAGGCAGCTGCCTTCTAAGGAGGCATGCTACACTCTTAAAAAGAAGGGTTCTTTATTGGCATCAATGAAGAACCGTTCCACTGCACAAAAGGTTCTTTACAGTGGAAAAAATATTTTTTAGACTTTTAAATTCCTTTTGGAACATTTATTTTTAAAAGTTAACACTCTTTGAACCTCATAAGTGGCTGATTTGAAACACTTTACATGAACAGACAAATAAAAACAGCCCTCCGCCAAGAGAAACTCGACTTGATTCCAATGGAGTCCGATGACAGCGCAATACTGTACACAGAAATATTGTGTAAAATGATCATTTTTATTGACTTTTTTGTTGCATTGCATTCTGGGATTGCCTTCTCCACAAAGGAGAATGTGACTAAAACAAGTTAACTATAATGCCTTAAAATGCTGCCTCTGTAGGCAGTTCATTTGGTTTTGGAACGGAGTAGAAGAATGACCCTTGATAATTGTGGGTGTGCAGAATCTGTGCTTCAAAGCTGCAAGCCGAGTCTATTCTTCTGGTCAAAATCTGGCACTGGCAGAAGATGCCAAGTTTTATACTCCTCTGCATTAGTCATTAAGAGAACTCTACAACTCGGTTTAATAATAACTCAAATCAAATGTGCCTCTTACGTTTGAGCATGTTCAGACATGCTTTCTCTTACACCCCAAGCAAGAATTTTATTATGAAAAAACATCTTCACATTTCCTTTAAATGATAGTCAGGGCTGTCATGATCGTGAATTGGTTAGATTACATTTAATTATGAAACAAACAATTGAAATATATAATGTGCATTCATGTGCACTTGCATTGTAATAGATAGATAGATAGATAGATAGATAGATAGGGGTAGAAAACACATGCTTGCCCCAGATTCTATTTGGTTTATTGGTAGGTAAATAATGAATGGAGTTGGCATAATGCTATGGGTCTGACATGGTAATAACTAACGTCAAGGTCAAGAGGGGGTCAACACCAGTCAAACACACTCTCAAATTATAATCTGCATTAAGAACAAAAAATTCAACATTTTCCCCACACAAGAGCATGGAAAAAGTATGCAGATTATGCATTGGACTGGCTATTTGCCAACTATTCATTTATACACGTATAATCATAGCTTGCTTCAACAGCAGGAAATCTCACATTTTCCCATGCAGCACCTCGGTCTTTGCAGCAGACAAAAATCTGAACAGTCCTGCACTGATAGAAATGCACATAAAAGTATGATTTAAATAGTTCTTGAATCTTATCATTTAATTCTTTACATGAGAACACAAACTGCATCCTCTCTCAACCAAGGACCTATTTATAGCATCACGTGCATTTAATATAGATGAATCCCAGAGCCATTTGATGGCATGGAGTCACCATACAGCAATGCACGCACACTAGAAAAGTCAGGGTTTTTTTTTTCGACGGATTCCCCGTAGTATGTTTTTCTCCATTTCCTCTCATGATGCCTTTGAAGCGTCGTGTCACATGGCTGGGTTATTGCACACCACTGCACAGATTACAGAGCGAGAACAGGCTCTGGGTTCTCAAGCTCTAGTTCGGTATCTGATCAATACCGCAGGACTGACAGCTTCATCTGGGTTACCAGCTTGTTTAAGCCTTGCTTTATTTTAAGGTTTGGCAACGTGCTTTCTGATGTCACAATGGGTGAGTGCGCAGACGTGTCTCCATCATATCAGTAACAATCCCGAGCTCTCGAACAGCTCTCAGACTAAACGAGAGCAGTATCCACCCCCACCACATAAACACACACAGATGGGAGGCCATTATTGGTGCTAGTCCAAAACTGGACGAAAAGCAACGTGAGCATTACATTAGAGAGATGTACCAACCTAAAAGCAACATACACTCACGGTGGGAATAAAAGCAACCTTCAAATGTGGGCAGAGAAGGAGGGAGGGAGAGATGGTTGCAGATGTAAAGTTAGAAGGTGGGGGTAGTCAGGATAGAGGGGATGAAAGGGAGATTAATAAAGAGGTAGGAGGAAGAGAAAGATACCAGTGGAAAGCGAGTACAGACAGAAACTATTATGGCACTCTACATAAACATGCTTGCAAACACAAAGCCTTTGAGCCATGCATGGTGAACCAATGACAGCTTACTCTACGACACACGAAGGGGGGTGGATGTGCAAAAACACACATTTTCAAAATTGACCAGTGCATGGGTTGCCTGCATATAGCTAGTCGACTGACTAGTCTCATTCAACATCAACAGAGCATAAAGTAATGGAATGGGCTACTTGGACTACTTTTAACTTGATCCATATCTTGAATGCAGTTTTCATAGTGGGATGCTCAAAAATATATAAAATTACAGACAAACAAATGAAAAAATTTAGTCTCTTTTCCAATTGTCTAGTCAGTTGTTGTGCAACTAGTCAAAAGTTGAGACCCATCCATAGTAGGGGGAGACAGATTGAGACCTATATCGGGCCGAGGATATACCTTTGCTGTACCCCTGGATAAACATGCACTACTGGTAGAGCAATGGCTACAATCCACAGGGAAATAAAGGAGCACATACAATCTCAGACAGTACCAGCTGTGGTGGAGCAAGGATCGCTCTGGCCCATCAGTAACTCATGGATTAGTTCACACGTGCTGAGCTGTAATCTGCTCCGCACTGCCCAGACCAGCAGACCCCACTCACATGCCCACAGTTTATGTGTCTGTGGTCATGTGATTGCTGCCCCCATCCCTAAAGCTCCTGCAGATGGCTGTGTGCATAGAAAACACAGATTCTCTATTGTATGGCTCTCTATTACGTGGGTTTCAATTGGCCAAAAGGTTGTGGACACTTTAGATAATCTAATAAACGTGAGGTGATCCCAAAAACAAACTGGACTAAATCAGAAAACAGAAACGTCACCAGATGTTTGGATCACACTCTCTCTCTCAGAAAATCCACTCAATCCACTTTCCTTCCCTGGAAGGACGCCTAATCTAAACACAAAAAATACACACACAGTGGTGGTGGAAGGCCATGACACACAAAGCAAAGGACCATAGGTGCGGATCAATGTGGCTGGCTTTGATTGGATGGCTGGATAGTATAGCTTTGTCCCGCCTGCCATGATGATTCCCTTGGTCAAGCATAACTCAATATATGACACTCTGTGATAGGCTTCAGGGCCGTAACCACCACAAACATTGAGGAGTACAGGTCACCCCAATATTTAGACCAGTGGTTGATGTTTTTTTTCAATGGCCAATCATTAAGCAATTACATTTGGTGCTTGCGCCAATCTTGGTTACAACCTTGACAGGCCTGCAAACTGTCATACTTTGACACAATGTAGAAACAAACAAAAAAAACACAAATTTAATTATCAGGTTTTAAGGGTGTTGCTGGTGACATTGAACTGACTATATCATTCAGGAACATTACTTGCTTCATAGATTTCTGCCTGTATTTCAAGAATTTGGTTGTACTAGTAAGGAGGAGTCTAAAAATATTGGGTGTGGATGTATAGCAAGGTTAATGATGCCATCAATGATGTGGGTCTGTTTGTGTGTTGTTTCTGTAACCTTACACACTAGTAACCATGCGTGTTGCATTTGAAGTGAGATTGGGTCTCTTTGTGCAATGAAACACTGTGTTCTTTTACAGAGCACAGTAAATATGGGGCAAGGCACAGCAATAGTGGCCTCTGAATATCAAATGTCCTCTGTTATACTCTTCAGATATAACCCAAAGACTGCTACAGGGGTGTGTGTCCTTCCGGACTCATCCAAAACACCCAAAGCTTTGTCAACCTTCCATAGCATGAGTGTGCATCTATGCATGCATTGTGAACATGCCCTGGCACGTGTGCGAGTCTGCATTGCTTACTTGACCAAAGATCACGCTTCCTAAGCTGCCTTTGCTGGCCAAGAAAAGCTTACAAGGCATCAGGTCAGAGAGAACAGCCAGTTCTGGCTTCCCTTCCAGGGGTTTCAGGAATTCCCAGGGGACACCAGCTTCCTCTGTACTGCCGTAGAAAACAGGGAGGACAACATTTAAGGTCATCGGCAGCGAGTTCTTGAGGAGCACACTTTGGCAATGGATGATGTTGTATCTTCTAAACGCACTTTATTCCTAATGATTGTGGGCAGAAGTGTATTGTAGCCAATGAGCACAAGCTCCTCTATGTTCTGAAAATATATTTTCTTAGGGCCTTTGGTCTATTTTCAGTAAGCCAGCGTGGCAGCTTTATTCCTGAGCCTTTGCATTCTGACTGTCAAACACACCACAGCCCACACATCCACGACAACGTGCTTAACACACAACCAAACACCCTCGCTTTCATATATACCCAATAATTAACAACCACATGCCCATAATTGGAAATTAAATCAGTGATTTCATTTAAATTTGACATCTTCCATTCTGACATCCGAACTGTGCAACCAAACCCAAGTTCAGGAAGTTGAGGCTCACCACATATGTTCAAAGGCATCATAAGATGAAACGGCGGCATGCTTGCTTGAACACACGTGTGTTATCTGCATATGTGTGGTGGTTTGCGAGAGGCCGGAATGTGGTCACGGCTTTCATCTCCTTCCTCTTCCTTTCTCACATGCAAAAACACTGTGAGCTGTCTTACATCTTCATCAAACAGAAACTGACGCAAAATGGTCACCGCTTACCAACTGGGACTGCAGTAAGGCTTTGGTGAGCAGGAAGGCATGTTAGGTACAAAAGGTGTCTTATCTTCCAGAACTCAAAATTCATATGGAGTCAGGATATTATGCCTGGGTGATAAAACGGCATCGATATTTATCGATGGTACACCTTCTTCGATAACGATATAGTGCACGATATAGGCATGTGCCTTGAGTGACACAGACAGCACACACAAACACATGCTGAATTGAGTGCTGTGCCTGCCTGTGATGAGGAGATTGTGAATAAAAAAAATGAATATTAGTCAAATTTAAAATAAACATTTGCATTTGAATGTTAGGAGTGGCACGCGAGATGCAGTGATGATCATGTAAGTGACGTTGTTGCATTTTAATGTTTTGTTAGTCTAGCTCACGAGATGCGCAGCTGCTGTGTTATGCATTCAAAATATTAGAGAAATATAGAAGCTCAATGCGGAGAAGATCTTGATTAGGTGAAAACCGAAACCAAGCCATTCACACAGATGCATAATTAACGCATTTTTAGACGGACAAATGTGACTGCTGCACTCGCGTCTCAGACAAGAGATGTAGCCATGCAAAGTTAAAACAGTTTAAACTTTTAGAAAACACGTTGCAAATTTGTGGAGGTTTATTCCTTTTCACTGCATCTCTAATGTTTTTAAATGCAATCTGTGTGATGGGCGATTCGGCTCTTTGTATTAAGCAATGCATAAATACATGATGCGGTTTTGTTCATAATTGTTTATGCAACTTACGAAATTATATTTGATTTATATGAGTTAATTTAGATGTAATGCAGGTTTATTTATAGACATTTATTTCCTTGCGTTGACAATTTAAATGTGCTGCATTATTTTGCTCATTGGGCCCTCCTGTGGCCTCGGGAGACAAGCCAAAAGTTTTCTTAAGACCTATTTAATCTGCATATAAAACATCAGAAATTAGATGTTTAATTTTTATTGTGTGTTTGACTGTTAAAACAAAAATTTGTTGTTTCTCTCAATAAATTGGGTTAATTTAAAAATACAGTGGTTAAAAAAAAAAAAGTTATATTGCTCTTTGTTTTACGAAAGGTTATAAAAAATGTCAATAATTATCGATACCGAACGATATGAAACATTATATCATTGATACATTTTTTAGCTATATCGCCCAGCCCTAGGTAATATGGTTTGGTGTTGGGTGTGGCTACCGACTGTACCGTCTTCATATTGTGTTGTGTAATATTTGTTTGTGCTGACACTAAAGGCTGTCCGACAAGCCCTGTCCTCTTTATCTGTACCAAACCCATACAACCTCATGCCGGCGCACTGACAACCCTTCACATGTGTAGACATTATCTGAGAAACCCAGCCGGTCTGGGAGGAGATGAGTCTACTTGCATGCACACATACATATGGTGCATTTAGAACTACTCAAGTAAAACTGTGCGCTTTGGTCCACCAATGATTTTGCAGAAAAGTCTTAGTCCAACCTTGGACAAGTTCTCACCCATGTCCCATCCAAAATGACCGGCAAGCAAATAGATGTGACACTCCATGATTAGGCTGTGCTTAAGAAAAGTTAATAGAGCTCCAGGTCTTCATATAGAGGGTCACAAAGGGAGTTCCCATTAGTCTAGACAAGAGTTATTTTCAGTCTTTGAAGTGGAGCCTCCAGTATTTGCGTGCACAGAGCCTAAACAGCAGGCCCCGCACGGTCGGAGTCTAATGCCTATCAGATAAGCACTCGTTAAACCAGAACATGAAGTCCATCATCTGTAAACACTCACGCATTATGCTTAGTCCACACATGGGTGGTGATTTCAAAGAAAAACACCACCCATGAGTTTGGGGAATTTTAAATAAATCACTTGTATTATCCTAATAATGTACACCTACAGTAATTACTGGTTTCCTTCTGTGAACTTCCTATTATGCAAATGACATTGTGAAAGAAGGGGCATATGAGTGCGTCTCTGGTTTCTGACGTCTCTCTGGACTCTGGGTAGTAATCTAAAAACTGAGGCTGCAGTAGTTGTGCAGAACCGAGGGGCGGGTGAGCCATGAGGAGTGGGAATGCCCTTAGATTAGCAGAAATGGGTCACCTCTTACTTTCACATTTAGTTACCTGTTGCTGCAGGGACAAGCCGAGAACAACTGTAGGACAATCCTTCTGTGTTTCAAACTTCCTGTTCGCCAATGTAATGCCATTTTTATTTTTTCATATTTTAGCAATTTTGAAAAGTAGCTTCAATACTTTAGATGAAGGGAAATATAATATTTCAAAGCACTGCAATATTATTCCTCATGATACTTTAATTTTTTTGTAACTTTTTATAACTTAAGACCACCATTGCATAACATTACAGTGTACAGTGTTTACAGATCTTTACAATGTTGACTGCAAGTCTTTTCCTGCTATGACAAATGTCAGCTATTCCCTCAAATAGCTTTTACTGACACTTGCATGCCCATGCTCTACAAAAAGCATGCAGGAAATATAGCAACCAAACCACAAAGCTCCAACTTCCCATTTTGATTGTGAGTAAAAGACTGCAATACATCACTGTTTTCAACCACAATAAACTAAACAACAATCTAAAGCAATGTTCACATATTGGGACCCAAATATCAGCTCCTTTCTGATTTCCACCTTTTTTTTCTTTTTCAACTATTTGTAGTCATGACTTTTAGTACACATGTTCAGGTTGTGGTGCTTATGAGGTTAGTGCAAGTTAAGTGGTATTGGCTTGTGATATTTCCTATCATTGCCAGTGTTCTCAGTAGTACACTGTAAAAAAGTAATAATTTAAAAACCGCACTTACCGATTTTTCTCCAGCTCATTGTGTGTGGACCTATAAAACAAAGCAGAAGCAATGAATGAGCAAACATCAACTTGCTTGTCAGTCTGTGGTGAATTAAGTCCAAGGTTTTTATCATAACCCTCATAATAAGCATGAGCTCATTTCTTGAGCACTTATCTCCTGAATTAAACGTCAGCTCTCATCGTGAGATCAGAGAACATGTACACGGAAAAAAGCCAGGCCGCTCAAAGTACAAGGCTATGCATCATTAAGGATTCCAATGGATTTACTAATTAATCTTTATTGGTGGGTTGAACCAACCACAACCAATCCAGTGGCTCCAGAGGGAATTATAAAGGCTCCTCTAAATGACCCACATGTCACTGCAACGAAAAGACAGAGAAATGAAGTGTGCAGAGCAGAGAAGGCAAGCACAATGACCAGCCTATATGCGAGCACGTGAGAGAGCTCTCCTCTTCGTACAATGAGTGAGTGCCAGTGGACGAGCTCTCTCTCTCACCCTCTCTGAGAGCACGAGTCAGTGTTATGTTAATAATGTAAAGTGAATCAGCCGTCCCCCTAAGAGGCTCTTTGTGTGGCAGTATGCTGAAAGCTTTTCCAAAGCTCTAAATGGCCGGCCGAACCGGTGCATGGCAATGCCGTTGCAGGGGCAGCAAGACGTGGCTGCAGCGTGGGCCTACTTCTCCATCTCCTGAATTAAACGTCAGCTCTCATCGTGAGATCAGAGAACATGTACACGGAAAAAAGCCAGGCCGCTCAAAGTACAAGGCTATGCATCATTAAGGATTCCAATGGATTTACTAATTAATCTTTATTGGTGGGTTGAACCAACCACAACCAATCCAGTGGCTCCAGAGGGAATTATAAAGGCTCCTCTAAATGACCCACATGTCACTGCAACGAAAAGACAGAGAAATGAAGTGTGCAGAGCAGAGAAGGCAAGCACAATGACCAGCCTATATGCGAGCACGTGAGAGAGCTCTCCTCTTCGTACAATGAGTGAGTGCCAGTGGACGAGCTCTCTCTCTCACCCTCTCTGAGAGCACGAGTCAGAGTTATGTTAATAATGTAAAGTGAATCAGCCGTCCCCCTAAGAGGCTCTTTGTGTGGCAGCATGCTGAAAGCTTTTCCAAAGCTCTAAATGGCCGGCCGAACCGGTGCATGGCAATGCCGTTGCAGGGGCAGCAAGACGTGGCTGCAGCGTGGGCCTACTTCTCAGTGGGTCATGTGACCACTTCTCTTTATTGCCAACTATTAATACCAAGACCATGTTTTCAGGCATCTGCCTTGTCCAAATACCCACACTTGCAGTCTTGGCCACTTGAGAGCGTGTGCGCACGACAGGAAGTAAGTGTGCAAGACTGCCTCAGGTCTTAAAAACGGCAAAGCGCAGTGCCCTTAACGCACCCTATCTCGAATACCGCTCCAGAGCGTTAAATATTAATATAATAATTAGATATTACATATAATTTGGTAGAAAAACTGTGTTTTTACGTTTTATTGGTGCAAAGATGAGTAGTGGTGATATTTATTTTGTACAACATTTGCAACTGCTTTTTATCACTTAATTAGAAGCACCACCAATTAAAATTATGTCATGTTATAGGGACTACTGAACAGACATTTAGAAGTTGATTTTAAAATGCAAAGTATTTAAAATTTAAATAAAGCCAAGTAAACACTTGCATTTTTACAACACTATAAGTGTGTCCCATCAGGTAATGAAAAGTTCGACACACACTTTTGGTCTTCATCCTCACTTGAACACTTGGGCCGAATACAGGAAATACGTCATATAAGTGTTCAAGTGCAAAGACCACAAGTGTGGGTATTTGGACAAGGCAAGTCTCTAGCTGACCTTATGGTATTGCCACTTCTGCACGGAAGTATGCTTGCAAGCTCAGGGGAGAGGAGGAATGGAGCAAGGGAAGAAAAGATAGGTGAAAAAAACTAACAGTATGGCTGTTTACACACAGTTTTGTTTGTCAGGATGTGTAGTGTCAAGAGACATACACTCTAGGAAAAGATTTACAACACTATAAGTGTGTCCCATCAGGTAATGAAAAGTTCGACACACACTTTTGGTCTTCATCCTCACTTGAACACTTGGGCCGAATACAGGAAATACGTCATATAAGTGTTCAAGTGCAAAGACCACAAGTGTGGGTATTTGGACAAGGCAAGTCTCTAGCTGACCTTATGGTATTGCCACTTCTGCACGGAAGTATGCTTGCAAGCTCAGGGGAGAGGAGGAATGGAGCAAGGGAAGAAAAGATAGGTGAAAAAAAACTAACAGTATGGCTGTTTACACACAGTTTTGTTTGTCAGGATGTGTAGTGTCAAGAGACATACACTCTAGGAAAAGTCCATACAAATGGGACCACGAATAGATTTGTCCAGGTTTTTTTTTTGTAGTAGTTTGAATTACACACTGCATTGTGTTTTAGGGTTAAAGGAAATGTAACAGATAATGTACTGGCAAAAAATTGCTAGTACGTTTTTCAATATACTGGCGTATTCTGTAGTTATTATTCACAGCATAAATGCAGAAATCTTGAGTTTTAATGCTCTAAAATGTGGGTTGCCCACATATGTTATTAAACATGTGTGGAAAAGTATTTTTCCCTACAATCTTTCCACCATCTCCATTTTAACTGAAGCGGCCTGAATGAACTCTCCTCAGGAGACACACACAGGCATGCCAGATGATCAGATAGTGTTTTCTTTACATTCCCTCCATCAGTGCTCGCTTTGTGTACAGTAACACAGACCTGAGATCAGTCATCAAGATGTATGTTACTTAGAAATGCACTGAAACAAAACAGAGACAACTCACACAACACTAAACAGTCGCGCACACACTGTCTGGGGGGGACTCTTATGAGCTGGCATTTTGGTCAATGCAAAACCTGTAGCTAGATGGCATTTTGATAAACTCATTCTGTAGCTAGATGGCATTTTGATAAACTCATTCTGTAGTTAGATGGCATTTTTTGGCCAACACAAAACCTGGTAAATTGCCTAGAATAACAGAAATTCTGGGCATCTCGAAACCTATACGACATTTTAGACATCACAAAAAAAAGTTACCTACCTAGATGGCATGTTAAAAACGAATAAACCTACCCTTACGAAAATTTACCATGGTTTTCTTATAGTAAACGTGTAGTGAACCATGGTTTCTGCAGATTGATTACATTTGTATAACAACAGTTTTACTGCAAATACCATGGTTAAACTAAGGTTAGTGTAGCAAAACCATGATTTAACTATAATAACCATGTTTTCTGGTTTCATTTGTAGTAAACCCATGGTAAAAAATGTTTTACACTGTTTACCCAGATGGCAATTCTGGGCTTCACAAAACCTAGTGAGCTGCCTACCTGGATGACTTTTTTTGGCCACTTCAGAAGCTAGTAAACTGTCTACCAACATAAAATTGTTTGGCATTATAGCCGCGCGCACCATTTGCGTGATTTAACAAAGCGCCTGTTAGCAGACGGATTAAACGCCTGATATCGTATTTTCGATTCGTTTCTTTTATGAAATCGACATTTAGCGGCGAAAGACCGGTGATCATTTTCCAAACCATGTTTTAGAAGGAGAATAACATGGAAAATTAATTTAATAAATACGCCTCAGGCTGTTCACCTTGGCAGCCTGAAAACAACAGTTGCTGTAAATAAGAGCCGTGTGTTAAAGGGACATTGGCAAAATTAAAGTACTCCTCTCGTGAGAACCAAGTGCGCAAACTGGTTTGTTAGTTTCCCCCCCCCACGGACTGTTAAGCAGGCATTAACCGCATACGCGTCCAAATTCACCGAGAATACCGACACTGCAGACTTCCGCTTCAAACGAAACGAAAGCCAGTGGCGCCCGAAGACGAAAACAGGACGTGAGTTTTCACACGGTCCCTAACCTCAACGCTGCAGCGGTCCCGTTTGACAATCAGCTGATGAGAGCTCCCTCCCCCAAAACAAATCAAGCAACAAGGGAAAATAATAATACACCTTCTTTTAAACGCTGAATTGTCTAATTAATTACAACAACATATCTGATAGGCTTTGCTCTATTCATATAAGGCATTTAAACGTTTATACTAGTTTGTGACATAACAAAAACAAGCCATAAACTAATTAAGGCGACTAGAAAATACTGATTCAAGCCACTATTAAGCAGTGCCAGGTCCCAGCATTTGTGCTCTATGCAGACGTCTCTCCAGCAGTGTTCCCCGTCTCGTGGAAGTGGAGAGTCAGATCATGTGCTTACCTGTTGTTGTGGTGGTTGCTGCACTTTTTATTTCGGAGTTTCCTTTGTCTCTGGCAGCTGGAGTGCTGAACAGACGGAAAGGTCGAGGCATATCCGTGTTCAGACTCTGAAAAAGACGCCGCAGAAACGTGTCACACATCTGATCGCTCGCCAGACACGGGCCAAGTCCCTTTAAATACCTCACGCACTTCAAAACACAGCCTACTCACACCTTGCTCTGCACGACAGGACAGTTTGCATGTTATAAATATCAATACCGTGTACCTCTTTCTCTCCTTTCTATATATTCGGCTGCTTCCAGTAACCTCTGGATATTCAGCACAGCAGTCATCGTGTGAATAAATCTAGATGCGTGTCGTTTTCGGATATCGGATCACGATGACAAGCTGTCGCGTAGCATTGAATATCCTCCGACGATTCACCTGTTTTTGTGTTTTTGTTTCTGTTTGCTGAACCGTCGAGACTCGAGGTATTTCCTTACACTGTTACCAAGCCAGTTACAGGAAATCAAACTCAGATAAATCACCCGACGCCTGAATATCAAAGTAGTAAAAGTGCTTTAGGAAAACAGTCGAATACAAAGTGTATAAAACGAATAGAAACAAGTACAAAAGAGTCCCCCGAGAGCCCAGCCTGCGAAGTCCCGGGTGCTTGCGCTGTTTTCTCCTCCTCTAGTTTGTTTACCTACTGTTTTAACAGCTGAGAGGATAGAGACCTCCGCGCGGAGCATTATGGGAAATGTAGGCCTTCACCCAACAGGCCCTTTAACTCGAAAAGGACAAGCTGATTTATTATTACGCTATTACATATTAAAAGAATAACCTTGTTTGGATGGTTAAATCTATCTTTTATAGTAGTTATTTAGCGACTGTGTCATATTAAGTACATTTATACAAAAATAAGACAAAGTCTACCTTATGAATATCTAGCAATATCCTATGAGACTAAAACATATGTATATATATAGAGAGAGAGAGAGAGAGAGAGAGAGAGAGAGAGAGAGAGAGAGAACAATGAATACAGTACATTAATTAATATATACATTTTATATATTTTTTATATAATATAATTTTATAAATAAATGTATAAATATACATATGAGCAGTTTTCCTACATAGTTGTACACCCCAAGCTAGTTAAGTAGTCATGTAACAAGCGGAAATGTGTTTTGTAAAATCTGCGTTACATGTGTTATAGTTAACGATAAAAATGCATTTTAACGCTCTGTTCCCCGTTTTGATACTGCGCACTACATCTCCCACAATCCCTCACTTCCAGCCCGTTTAAGCCAGGCCCAGCAACATATGACATCACAGCACCGCAGCGCCGTGATTGGTCAGAGGCCCTAGTAAGCGTCCGCCAACCCAACACGCTCTGACCAATCAGAGCAGCGCAAAGTGCGCCATGTGGATGTCATGTGAACACACCCCCTTGGAAACAGGAAGGCAGTTTGGAGAACTCTTTAGAAGTAGATATATGCAGTCTGCGTATAACATTACAGATTTAGCCGGTGTGACTCGGCCTTGCTTTAAATCGCATTGAATAATAATGAAGAAGAAAAAAGAGCGAATGGCGAAAACATGATAAAAATCTATTGTTTTTGAAGTGCTTCATATGAACCTCTCTTTATAATAATAGACACAACCAGTCTTATACATTAACATGAATAAAAAAAACATGGGTGCTAAATAGATTTTCCCTACCTGGACAAAGCACAATTTAATGCTCAAACAAAAACAGCATCATATGATCAAATGCCTTTATTTAAAATACGATAAACGTTTAATCATCATACATACTGTCTTCTACAGGTGCGTAATGGATAGATTTAGCTGCAAATGACAGTCTACCCCAGTGACGTCAGCGTGTGTACTGTGCCAGCGAACGTTGTGTATTTATTTATTTATATACTTGTTTATGTTCTTCGAGAGAAGAGAGATTGCAAACAGCCTGGCATGTCTCACAGACTCGGAACTTCCCTATATGACAGTCAGCCTGCGATTTGGGACATATAGTGCGCTGCAGAGGGAATTATTCACCTGTTTGTGTGTCTCTGACACATGAAATGAAACATAGATATGGGAAATGTGTCGTTATATGACTTTGTGTCGTTAAAATAGCCATGAAACAATTTATGTTTCCGCATTGTGTGCATTATAAAAATCTTAAAATATATAAAAAAGGTCTCCTTTTACATTTTGGAAACTTGGTCCTTTAAAAGCATTGTGTCTGTGCATCGCATATCGGGGCACATTGCACATGTTCCTCGTCTACTTGGCTGATTGTTCGTTGAACTCAATCCTTTGTTGTCTGAGTCTATTGACAATGAAACAGTTTGTCTGCATTACGCAAATGAGTCGAAATCACTCCTATAAGCGCACTATAATTTCACTTACTTCCATCCTTCCTCTCGGCGCTCTCAATGTAACGCGCAGCCTCCAATAAAACCTGCACATTTTTCAGGAAAGTGTTTATCATGGACGAATCTCTGGAGTTGAAGACGTCATTGAAAGGGCAAGTAGACATCTCAAAATCTTGCTGATCCAAAGAGGTTTCGGACTCCAGAAACAAGTCTTCGGCCTTCACCTCTCTTCTTTGCCTCTCACTCCTCACCATTTTGTTCCCGTGCGCTGAATATGGTTGGAATTGAAACTGTATGTGACTTATTGTGCTGTGCTGCGCTTACTGGATCCACTGAATAAATGAGGGCAATGTAATGGATGAGGAGATGAAACACCTCGGCATTCCCGGGTCCTAGTGCCCGCCGGGTGCTCGCCTGTCACGTCTACGACGGACCCCCCAAACAGTGACGTCATCAACCTGGGCCCGAGCCTTCCTAAAACAATTTTCGTGAAATATAAAAACTAACACTGAGAGAAACATACAAGCTTTCTTGTAAGCAAATAAACCAGCACCAGTGGTGTATAAAGTACCTGAAAGCCATACTCAAGTAAAAGTACAGATATCTTACCAGAAAATGACTTTGGTAGAAGTTGAAGTCAGCGTTTAGAATATTACTTGCTTGTCACACCCAGTGTAAAGGAGCAGTCAAAAAAAAGTTTTGCTGCTTCAGTTTTGGTGAACTTTGACCTGTGAATCGATACATCACATTGTGACTCCTTAGCACCAGCAACTGACTGGGTACAACATTCTTCAAAATATCTTCTTTTGTGTTGAACAGGGGGGAAAAACTCATACAGGTTTGTAACAACGTGAGGGTGAGTCAATTATGACAGGATTTTAATTTTAGGGTGAACTATCCCATTGATAAAAACCGTGTCAACATGAAAACCTTAAAAAAAAACACTTTCATTATAATAAAATTTGTCATCATTTTTGTATAATTTGTCAAAATGAAATAAATGTTAACCGAAATGAAATAAAATAAAATATGAAAAAAATGTAATGATTTTATTTCATCTATAGTTGCTATGGCAACATTTTACATTTTTCATTTAGTTTGAGTTGACTTACTTAAACAACAAAAATTCTAAATAAAAAATAATGAATACTATATAGACATTTTAAAAAGTAAAACTAATAAAAATGACAAAAGCACTTAAAAAAAAATTACTTAAATATTAACTAAAACTAAAGTGACTAAAAAGAAAATAGACAAAATAAATTCAATATATTAACAGAAACTATAATACCATGATCAATAATAAATACACACTGTCTAGATGAATACAAAGAACACAAAATTCAAATCCAGGAAAGTGTAGATTGTACATTTTTACATTTTGGATTTATTTCTATTCGTTATATGTTGAAATTACGATTTTTAAAAAGGCGCCAGAGCATGACGTTATACGTCATCCGTTGTAGTGTCAGAAGAAATTTGGGTCCTCAAATTCTAGTGTGACCGCAGCTGTTATATTTAATACCCTCTTATGTGTGTCCATTCACTGCCTAGTCTCTCTTTTAGGTTATGAGCGATTCTGGCTAAACGAAACCTTGAAAGGTCCAAATCCTGACACATGCTCACGCTCCAGTCGTGGCGGACAGCAGCACTGAAACATCATTATCAAGAGTGGAATACGTTTCAGAGACACCAGTCGCTGCACAGGGAGGGCGGAGAGGCTTGAGTTCACTGTCCGTTCCCTGCGGTCTTTGACTTTTTTAGCAAGGCAGCTTTTTACCAGCGCCAGCACAAGGGGATGGTAGAGCTCAGCTCTCCCCAGCACTTCAAAGCCAGTGCACAGGGCCTCAGTCGTTTGATGTTAAGTTCACAGGAAACTTGAAAGCTGAAAGCACAAGAAAGCCAGCGAGCTCTACGTCTAAAAGTACAGAAATTGGTAACGTGCCCTTCAACCCGATGCTTGCCAGTCACACACCTGATGATGATGCAAGGCATTGTGGGAGACAAGCGGAGCTGAAAAGGCTTGTTTAGTTGAACTAGTACATCAGTGAGGTTATTGAGTCCTTGATGTTGTCTGTAGAAGCAGTGAGTCATGAACTGCACCTTTAGTCTGACTGAAAAGGTGGGACAGTCTTATTTTAGTATCACTGAGATACCATTAGTTTTTCATTTAATATTTTTTCATTTTAATTTCAGTTGAAGTTCTACTAATTTAGTTGTGTTTCTGCCATTACAACCCCATCCCCTAACCCCCCACACCCCCAGCACTTCTATAGCTTTATACAATCAGTCACGTTTCAAAATCTCTTTGAGACCTTAATTAAAGAGGAGCCATGAGTGGACCAGCGCTTTGGTTAAAGCCAACATGATCAACCTGCACTGCAGGCTATCTGGGGTCAGACTACCTCATTAGGGCCGTCATTCTCGCGAGTGTGTCTGGGAGCCACGACAACAGGCACCAGCCAATCCTGACCACCTCCACCTGCTTAAATATTTAACACGCTCATTCATGACTCCCACAACCAAATTAAAAATGTATCCTCTTGTTGGGCTGGCAGCATTTGAAAACAATAAGCCGTGACTGTGAGTGGAAGTCATCGCTGAAGCTCTGGGGCCCAACAATTTAAAAACACAGAGCATACAAATGCTATGTATTTGTAGGCTTTTTAAAGTGTTGCATACGTGTTTGTTGTTAGCATGTGACTAAGCTAACAACACAGTACTTTATCTTAAGTGTAAAAATACATAGTACACATGTTAACATCAAACTCTATTGATCTTTTGGAACAAATTTCAAGTAGGGCCCCTGTTGAAAAAACCAGCATATGCTGGTTAGGTATGTTTTGACGTTGGGATGCTGGTTTAAGCTGGTCCTTTGCTGGTTTATGTGGGTCCTTTGCTGGTTTATGCTGGTCCTTTTCTGGTTTATGTGGGTCCTTTGCTGGTTTATGCTGGTCCTTTGCCTGGTTTATGCTGGTCCTTTGGCTGGTTTAAGCTGGTCCTTTGGCTGGTTTAAGCTGGTCCTTTGGCTGGTTTAAGCTGGTCCTTTGGCTGGTTTAAGCTGGTCCTTTGGCTGGTTTAAGCTGGTCCTTTTAACTTTGAAAGATAATATTGATCATGTTCTATTCTGTAATGTTAATAGAAATCATACACTGTCAGAATAAAAAGTTTGCATTTTATGCATGCAACAGCCATTCACTGGCAGTGCCTAATGTTACAAATAAGTTAGAGTATTAAATGTTGTAATACTGGTAGCACTAATATAAAAATGTGATGATATATGTTACAAAAAAGTAACAA